GGGGCATTCCGTAAGGAAGTGCTGTCAGGAGCATCCTTTGTGTCTTGAAGTGCTGCTGCTCTTGAATTTAGAACTGGGCTGTTTTGCTGCTAAATATCTCAAGGCATAGGCAGGCACACTTGAATTTTGCCAGATAGGCAGGTTATTTTGATTTTAAGTTACCATCATCTCATACTGTAGAGAGCTGTGCACATTATGTGTGCTTTCTACAGGGTGTTGAAGTAGACACATTTGTACAGATACATACACCTGCAGGTTGAGAAAGCAGTAGCCCTTTTGGGAGAAGTGCTATTGTATCTCAAAATAGGGCCCCAGGAACCTGTCAGTTCTCCATTGTGGTGTGCAGGAGCCGCAGATGTCCTGAGTTAATTAATAAATAAAAATCAAGTTAAGTCAGTGTTTAGTGTTTATATACCAATTTATTCTTTTTTTCTTAAATCTGACAAATTAGTTCAAAAATAGGTTAATATATTTTATTTCAAAGAAAATCACAGTGTGAACAGATACCCTGAGTGGATTCATCAAAAGTTATGCATAAACATTTTGCTGAGTCTTGTGTGCTAAAAGTTTTGATTTGTGTTCTGCTGAGGCACAACCACTAAACATACCCACTTGCTTATATTCTGAGGAAGGTAGTTCCAGTGAGACTTGCACAATGTGCAGAAGCTGCCTAACGGTGCTGGACTGACCTTTGGGGTGCGGGGCAGAGACCAGGGCTTAGTTTGGAGACCTGCGAGTATACCTGCTCAGGTTGAGGGTGGAATTTTCTCTAACACTAGCAAGTAATATTAGGAGTAAATAATACGTGTGGTTAGAGCCAAAGCAGCATTTTCATGAAATAATTTTATGAAGGAAGTCTTGTTGAATAACTTAAATGAGGAAAATGACATGCTTTTATGTGTTCGACTTTGAAGCCTAGGGCAGATAGCATGCCCTTGTGATTTATATCAAGCTGACCATCTGAAAAAATATTTTGAGAGTGTCTTAACATTTCATTGGTTTGGTAATAAAATTTAGAGAAAATGTTTGTTTTATAGTTGGTTGCTATTGAGACCATATTCCCTCAAGGAATTCCCTGTGCTTTAGGATGCTTTTTGTTTTAAACCTGGTGGTGTAGACCTGTGGCTGAACTTTTTCAGCAGTGATTCTACGAAACACATCTTGCATTGCTGTCTAGTACACATGTGTATGTATACTGAAACAGTTTTCAAGAAATAGTCATATGGTCTTATACTTTTAATTTCATTTTTGTGAAGTTGATTGTGGTGCTTAAGTAGATTCTGTCAACACAAATGGGTCAGGACCCACGCTTTGAAAAACACAGATTACAGCAGTTGTATTGCTGTTATAAATGAACCCAGAACTTACTAGCTTAAAACAGTAATCCCATACAGTTTCTGTGTGTCTGGCACTGCGAATAGTTTAGCCAGGTTGTCCTAGGGTAAGGTTCTTTCAGGAGGTTGTAGTCAAAATACTGACTGGGTCCTGGCCCATATCAAACCAAACTGCAGTGCTGTAAGTCACGTGCTATTTGTGGGTTCAGATCTTTGTCTCAGTCTGTCAGAAATTTGCCAGATATAGATGTATGTGCCCAGGATCCAAACTAATGGGAGGCCTGGGAAAAGGGGATAACGGCGTGAGATCTTACTCAGAGTATTTTTCTCTCATAAACATGGAGTGTTCTCAGTAATGAATTAAAAAACAAAACCAAAAGGCAAAACTTTAAAAAGATGTCGACTGATGCTAAAGAACCTGCTTCCAAGGTGGCTCACAACCTGGCTACTTAGTGTTGGCTGAAGATAAATGGTCTCTCTTCTTGCCCATTGGACTGCCTGGGTGTCTTGCTACAGTGGTGCTTGGCTTTTCCCAGAGCTAGTGACTCAAATGGGAGCAAAGAGAAAGACACATACAATCAATTCTGTCATGTCCTATTAAAAGCAAGTCACTGATCTGGCCCCATAGCACTACGGTTAAGGGAGTGGGGCCCGTATGGTCTACCCTGATTTGAATCTCCACCCTAGAGACTTGAGAAAGATGGTGTGTGTGTGTGTGTGTGTGTGCGCGCGCGCGCGCGCGCGCCCCAAATCCTGATAGGATGGAGGAAAAAGCACTGTGGCATGACCACACCCTGTTAGGTGCTTTCCCTTTCTCCCCTCTTATGCTAGTGGACACACCCTCTGGCAATTAGAGAAGAAAAAGCACTTCACAAAATCAGCCCAAAGTCAGGGGGAGAAGTAACTAAGCCCCACTTATTCAAGGGAAGAGTATCAAAGAATTTATTGACTTCTTAATTTGCTAGAGACCACGGACACTTTGACTAGAGATGAGAGCAAGAAAGCACCCACCATGTGGAGGACAGCTTCCTTGCAGTCCCTCTCCGTTTCTCCCCTGGGACACACACACACACTGGTGCCAGTGGAACCAGGGACCAGTTGGCCATGTGGGGACCAGCTGCCTTAACCATCATGCCACCAGCTGGCCCTGACATTTTTTATAACTGCCACAGTTCTATATTTTCCTGGTTTATGGGTGAATTAGATTGAACCAGAAGCCTTGCAGAAGTCAATCTGTAACTAATTAACTTAGTTAATTAAGTCCTTTTTTTTTCCCTCTAAGGGCATCTAGTCTCATTCCCTTCTCAATCTTAGATTTGAGAAAGCAAGCTCAAAGAGGTTAAGTAATTAGTGAGCCCAAGGCCATTTAGTCTAAGAAAACTTCTCTGACCTTTGTCATGAATAATCTATGGGCTGATGAAGATGAGAAAATAGGCTGCTAAATTGTGTGTAATCTTCTCTAAAGTTGCAGTATTGTGAACTGTTCTGTCGTCTTTTAGTTTGCAGACTCTTAAAATAGCTATCATTTAAACTATAGAAAATGCTTTAGTATCTGCATTTGTAGATGCTTTGTACTAACATCTCTCCTGTCCAGTTGGATTTTTAGAGGAAACAAAATGTGCTAACTACGTGAATTCAGGAGTTAGCTCCAGACATTGCTTGTATACTGACAGTGAGACTACTGTTGAAACTAATTCCAGCTAGCATATTTTGAAGACGTGAAAGAGTATATCATGACTTAATCAGGATTTAAGTGTGAAGGAAAGAGCATTTCCTGTTGCTGTGAAATTTCATGGAAACTTTGGAAGGATTTGTTCCAAGACTAGTTTTGGCTTCATGGTACAAGGCTGGGGTGGGACCCTGACATTGGTAGTGTGAATGAAGACAGGATAAATTTCTAAAATCTTTGATACATATTTTTTTAATAGTCAATTATACTTTTTCTAAACAATACCTGGGTATATGGTAGGTTTTCCTGTACTTTTGCTATTACAGAATATAATAGTGACTACATATTCCTTAAACAACTAGCCACTTTGTCTTAGCTCCCTGATTCCTGACTCTTCTTTTTCTTACTTAATCACCCACCCACCTCTAGTACCCGCTTAGGTTGAGTACTATTCTTGTTTACCTTTCTTTTTCATCCCCACCTTGAGCTCCCCGAGTGTAGGGGTTTCCTTTTAGGTGTACTGCTGGTACTCAAGTACTTGCAGAATTGAGTTGAAGGACCTACAATGATAATCATTTTTCCCATTCGATAGGAATGAAAACGTGTTTATTGCTGTAGAAAAAGCCTCTGGATATAGATGGTGAGTCTTAGTGGTGTGTTAAGTAAGAACTACCTGTGCAAGAGGTGCTCATGGTTCAGTGAGAGAGAAAAACACAGATGCTTAACGTATAATTTGTTCAATTCTTTTTTTTTTTTGGAGAGGTTTTCACTATAGGGAGCCTGCGCTCGCCAGACAGAGAGAGTCATAGAGACAGAAAGTGAGAAATCACCCCCGGGGGGGATGGTCACGCTGCAATCCCTTTTCCTCCATTCTCCCCTCGGGATCTTGGGCACGCACGCACACGTGCCCAGCGTGAGTTTTAAGCCACTGGGTCCGGGACAGGAACCACGGTTGATTACGTGGGAGTCCAGCGGCATAGCCATTATGCTAACTGCTGGTTCCCTTAATTTGTTCAATTCTACAGATGTGCAAAGTACTTTGGTACATAGCTGTTGGTATCTAAGCAGAACTTTGAAGGGTGAGCAGATGTTCAAAGCTAGGCTTAGTTTCCTGCATGTGTGGGAGTTCATTTCGTCATTTAACTCCCTTATACACCTACCTTGAATTGTTTTCCTCTTTGGTTTGTTACTATCATAATTTAGTAATTTACTGGGCATGTACATTCTTGTTCCTCTAGAACTGTGCTGGCCATTTCAGTACATTGGCATGTGTGGCTATGTACATTAATGTGACTTCAGGCCACCATACTGCACAGCTCAGATGTTACTGTTGCAAGAAGTTAGTTCTGTTGGACACTACTGCTCTAGAACCATGTTTTACTTATCTGTATATTTTCCCTATTGCCTACAGTATGTTAGGAATAGAGTGAGGAAACTTAATATTTACTTAATAAAACGAAACTCCTGGTACTGTTGGGACAGATAGAGCAGTTGTTGATGAACAGAGGGAAGATAGTATGTACAGTGGTTAAGAACGTCGGCTTCAGAGTCAGATCAGGGTGGGATTGTGCTTTGTCTCTTATGTGCTGTATGGCTTTGGGCAGGTTACTTAATCCCTGAGCCTCAATTATTTTGTTTTACTCAAGTAGGGATAATATTTATTTCATAGGTTGTGTGAGTTTAAAATAAGGTAGTGTACGGAAAGGGGCTTAGTGTAAGAACCCCAGTAAATGTTAGGGTCATGTGCACTTGCCAGGAAGACAGAGAGAGAGGAAGCGAGTAATCACCCCCCAGGGGGGATGGCCACGCCGCAATCCCTTCACCTCCATTCTCCTCTGGGGATCTTGGGCACGCACACACACACACCCAGTGTGAGTTTAAGCCACCAGGTCCGGGACTCGAACCGCGGTTGACTACATGGGAGTCTAGTGACATAGCCATTACGCTAACTGCTGGTCCCATTAATATATTTTTGAAGCAGTCACTGATTTAAAAAAAAAATTAGAATTATAAGGTAAAATTGACTTTTTCTTTTGGTATAGGGGTCTGAATTTTAATGTAGTATATACATTTGTGGAACCACCAGCACCAGGGTACAGGAAAGATCTATAATGGGAAAACTTCTTCATGCTGTGCTTTTGTATACTTTCCCTCCTCTCAACCTAGATACCGATCTGTTCTCCATCACTATACTTTCATCCTTCCCAGCAGGTAATAGAAATGGAATTATAAAATAGTCTTTTAGACTGGCTTCTTTTATTTGGCCAAGTTGAGTGAAAGATTCATCCAAATTGTAACAAGTGTGAATAGTTCACAACTTATTTTTAAAAATATATATGGAATTTGAAGTATTCTTTCTTGGAACCAGCAGATGGCGTAATGGTTATGTTGCTGGGCTCCGTTGTGTAGATAGACCATGGTTCAAGCCCTGGGCCCGGCAGCTTAACACTTGAACCGGGCGCATGTGCATGCATGCCCCAAATCCTGAGAGGACAATAGAGGAGAGGGGATTGTGGTGATTTCTCACTTTCTGTTTTTCTGTTTGATTCTCCAGTGAGTGCACATGCCCTATAGGAAAAAAATCTCTTAAAAAAAAAAGAGAGGGAACCAGCAGTTAGCGTAATGGCTATGTTGCTGGACTCCCACGTAGTCGACCGCGGTTCGCGTCTCGGACCCGGTGGCTTAAATCTCACGCCGGGCACGTGTGCATGCGTGCCCAAGATCCCGAGAGGAGAATGGAGGTGAAGGGATTGCGGCGTGACCATCCCCCCCTGGGGAGTGATTTCTCGCTTTCTGTCTCTATGTCTCTCTCTGTCTGTCTGGCGAGCGCACGCGCCCTATAGCAAAAACCTCTCCAAAAAAAAAAAAAAGAGAGAGAGAGACATTCTTTCTTTAAAAAGAAATATGAATCTGACTTTTTGCTTACAGTTCTTCAAGTTGTGTTTGACTTGAGATCTTTATGTTTAAAAGTGAAATAAATGATGGACATTATAGGGAAAATGACTTTCCTCATTGATAATTGTATCTTTGTATGATATCAGCATCCACCACAGGGTCCCAGCGCCATGACCATCCCACCTCAGCCCTGGACCGGGCACATGCATACCTGCGTACTCAAGGAAGTCTCTGGATGCCAATGCAGAACTTTGCTATGTGGGTCAGTTTCACAGAGTGTGAAGTTTAACTGCTCTGCCACTGTGTGGCCTTGTTTTCTCTCTGAAAATTAGTAGGGGAGGTTCTTGTTTTTGATAGTTGGTCCATATCGTGCATGTGTGTGTACTACAGAGTGCGTTGCCTTTGCCAGAGAAAGAGACAAGGAGTGGAAAGGGCATCCCTCGTGGGGCATGGTCACAGTGCTGTCCCTTCTCCATGTCTGCCTCCTCTTGGGATTTTGGGTACACATGCAGATGTGCCCAGTGAATTTCTCAGGTCCCTAGGTCTGAGCTGCATGGTTTGGCCATGTGGGATCTGGCTGCCTTAACCACCAAGCCATGGAACTGGCTCCAGCGGATGATGTGTATTAAAGATCTGTAGAGTTGCAGCAAAGTCTATAATTAGAAAATGGGGCTGGGGCCAGCCAGGTGGTGTGGTGGTTAAGGTGACTAGATCCCACATGGCTGACTGCATGGTTTGAGTTGGACCACATGGTTTGCGTGCATGCCCAAAATGCCAAGAGGAGAATGGAAGACAAGAGGTTGTGGCATTGCCACCCACCTGGGAGGGCATTTTCTCATTCTTTTTCTTTCCCACCTTCTTTTTCCCTCCCTCCCTCCCTCCCTCCCATCTCCTCTCTAGCAAGCACATACACCCTATAGCAAAAACTGGAGAAAAAAAAAAAAAAAAAAAAAAGGACTGTTTAATATATAAGAAACTTCAGGGCCACCAAAGTACATTCAGGGCCAGCAAGTGGCATGGTGGTTAAGGTGCTGGACTCCAACATGGCTGACCATGGTTTGAGTCCTGGATCTGGAGGCTTGCTTTCTCTCCCTCCCTTCCTCTCTCTCTCTGTCTCCCTCTGATCAAACTGAAGAATAATAATAAAATGAAATAATTATTTAAAAACATACATATCATTAAATTCTAAAATGTGGTCAGAAAATATGGTGAACAGTCCTGGTTTGCCCAGGACTTTCCCATTGTAGCATTGAGTCTGACTGCTGCAAGGGAACTCCTGGGTTCCAGCCAAATCCAGCATGCTTGGTCACCCTCTCTGAAAAGGGACACAAAAGTAGAGGATTCCATTCTGTCAGGTTTCAGTAGTGAACCACTGGACAAGTATTCCAACTAGTCTTAATTTACAACAGAGTGCTTCGAGTCTAGATGTCTAAGGTAACCAGAATCCAGACATGGTTAAGACCAACACCTTGAATTTAAGGTCTTAGCTAGTGGTTTAAGATTTGACTGGAATGACATCAATTTTTGGTGCCCTCTATGCATCTTCATTTGATGAGTTCAAGAGGTACTCTAGTCCACCTTTTTATATCAGTAGTATCTCAGTATATCATAACAGCTTCCCGAAAGCTGTTACGATAAATTTTTGTCTTACTTGTAGAAAAGTTGGGTTTATGTTTAAACGGAATACTCCTGTTCTTGAGTTTTAAAATTCAAATGGTGATGTCTAAGCCTCAAGTAGATTTTAAGTTCTTTTGGCTGCCCTGTGGCCTGGTGGTTACATGGATCCCATGTAGCCAACCATGTGGTTTGAGTCCTGGTCACAGCAGTTTGAAAAAACAAAACAAAACAAAACAAAAAACACCAGGTAAGTATGCATGTCCAAAATCCTAGCAGGGTGGAGAAGTGGAAGAGGATTCCAGCATGACCACACCTTGTTGGGAAGTTCTTTCTCTCTGGTGACTACAAGCTCTCTGGTAATTTAAAAAAGAAAAAAAAATTACTTAGTTTCACTAATCTTTTCTCTTTTCTGAATTTTCATACCCTCTCTACCTTTTCTATAATTTCTTTATAGGGCTTTGGTAGAAGGTTGCTGAGGCAATCAGTTTACTTGTGTTCTGGCAGCCTTCGTTTAGAATATACACTTCATACAAGCAGGGGCCTTTCTTTTTTTAAGTTTGCTATAGGGTGTATGTTTGTACCACAATCCCTTCTCCATTCTCCTTTTAGGATTTTGGGCACACATGCACAGGCATTTGGCATGTTTTTCAAGCCTCTGGGTCTGGGACTAAAATGGCCTTAACCACTGCCCCCAACCTGGCTCCATCTATCATTTTTAATTTTAATTTGCTTTAGGGTACATGCACTTGCTGGAGAGAGACAGAAGGAAAGTGAAAACGTACCCCAGGGTGGATGGCCATGCTGCAATACCTTTACTTTCCTCTTGGGATTTGGGTCATGCATGCGCCTGGCAAGTTTTTCAAGTCATCGGGTCTGGGACTCGAACAGTACAGTTGGCATGTGAGATCCAGTTGCTTTACCCACCATACCAGTGGCTGGCCCCGTCTTTACCACTATACTTGGAGCCTAAAGTAACACGTCATAACTTAACAATTCCAATACTTTATTGGATAAAAGAATAAATAAGTAGGCTTTACATGTTGCATGCTTTCCAGATTGTAACAGCCTGAGGGATGTGGAAACATGTTTCTAGGAAACGTAAACCCATGTTTTGTTTCCAACTGTAGAGAGTGAAAATGTGGTCTTCAGACATTTTTGGTCCTAGCCATGATGGTGCAGACAGTGCCCCTGTTTGGGAGGGTGGCAGTTGCATAGGAGGTCCTGCTGTTGTTCGTGGGTCAACCTGAACTTGCTGGGTGCAGTTGGGCATACCTGTAGTCCTGTCTAATTGGGGGGCTAGGACAGGACTGCAGTGTGATGAGACCCTGCCAGAAATACCTCTCTCTCCTTTTCTCATAAAGACAACAAGTATTAATCAGTAGCTGTAAGGAACAGAAATTTAGCATCTTCCTTAAATCTTTAAAAATAGCAAATTGGGACCAGCAGTTAGCGTAATGCCTATGTTGCTGGACTCCCATGTAGTCGACCGTGATTCGAGTCCTGGACCCGGTGGCTTAAACTCATGCCGGGCACGTGTGCGTGCGTGCCCAAGATCCTGAGAGGAGAATGGAGGAGAATTGCGGCGTCGCCATCCCCCTGGGGGGGTGATTTCTTGCTTTCTGTCTCTCTGTCTCTCTGTGTCTGGCGAGCACATGCGCCCTATAGCAAAAACCTCTCCCCCCAAAAAAGAAAAAGAATGGCAAATCAAAATCAATAGAAGGGAAAATGAATTCCATTTGGATTGGAGGTATTTGGGAAAACTCCCTCTACTAATTTGTCGTCTTCCCAACCCACTTTGTAAAGGCAGGAGGAGCAGGGTCTGAGGAGATTGGGGTGGGGAAAAGAACTGAGTTACCTTAGAATTTAGTACATAGTGCTTTTGAGATATTTAAAGACTGTATAACCTGAGTACAGACCAATAAACAGGCTCTAAATGAGTGGTTCTCAGAGTTCAGTCAACCCAAGGATCTCCTTGGAGGACTGTAAGAAACAGTTTTTCTAGCTGCAGCCCCAGAGTAGAGGTGACCGGAACTCAGGAATCTGTTATCTGGACACTGGGCATTTGCTGCTACTGCAGTTAGTTGGACTGAGGACTATACTTCACCAAAACTGTCAAGGGATAGACAGGATAGCAGTTTAAAGTGGTTCAGTATTGTTCGTTTAGTTAAAAAATGATCAAACTAGGGGCCAGATGATGACAGCAGTAAAGCAAGGCTCTGTAAGGCCGACCCACATGGGATGGTTTTGGGTTCATGCCTGGAGACTTGGACTCCATGGGGGCACACCCATGATCCAGGGCTGACTGAAGGTGGGAGTGGATTGCAGCATGAAGGCCCTGTTGGAGGTGCCTACCTCTCTTCTCTGAACTTAAAAGAAGAGTTACTGATTGTTTTGTTTTTGTTTAAAGGTTTTTGCCATAGGATATGGTGCACCAGCCAGAGACAGACAGTGATAGGGACAGTGAGAAACCACCCCCTGGGGGTAGCCATGCCATAATCTTTTCCTCCATTCCCCCTTACGATTTTGCGCATGTATGCACATGTGCCCAGTGTGATTTTCTTTTGTTTTTTTTGAGAGGTTTTCATTATAGGCGTGTGCGCTCACCGGACAGACAGAGACAGAGAGACAGAAAGCGAGAAATTACCCCCAGGGGGATGGCCACGCCACAATCCCTTCTCCTCTATTCTCCCCTTGGGATCTTGGGCACGCATGCACAAGCCCCCGGTGTGAGTTTTAAGCCACCGGGTCTGGGACGCGAACTGCAGTCGACTACGTGAGAGTCCAGCGACATAGCCAGTACACCAACTGCTGGTCCCCCCAGTGATTTTCAAGCCATCAGGTGTGGGAATTGAACTATGGTCAGCTATGTGGGAGTCCAGTCACTTAACCACTACACCACCTGCTGGCCCCTTGATTTTATATATATAAAAAAAAGTCTGCTGACTGCTAGGGTCTAAGAAGCCATGCTAGAATATCTATTGGAAGCTGCTTGGTACATGCAAAATGTGGAAGATTTTTTTTTTTTTTTTTTAGTTTTTGCCTCAGGCATATGAGCTTTGATGGGGGTGGCAGGGGGACAGAGACAGTGACTGGGGAAGAGAAATCACTCCCCAGGGGATGGCTGCAGTCCCTCTCCTGCATTCTTCTGGGATCTTGGGCACATATGCACACTTGCCCAGCATGATTTTCAAGCCACTGGTTCCGAGACCATGATTGGCCATGTAAGTCCAGTGACTTGGAAGTGCCATATCATCTGTTGGCCCCAAAATGTGGCGTTTCAAAAAGCCTCTTGGGACTTGCACTGAAGAGCAGTCTGTTGTAAACTGTGAAAACATGATCCATTCCATTTTGATGCAGGATTCAGTCACATCTCTCAAGTCTCAGTCATGATGTTTCTTAAATATTTTAAGAAGATCTTCAAATTTGACTTAGCCTTCATTTAATCTCAAAATGATAGGTGGATTCTGCAGTAGTTAAGACTCATAGCATCACATGTATTCCACTAATCCTCACACAATCCTACCAAGTAGTACTGTTAAACTGCAGGAGGAAACTGGCCTTTAGGGGTTTAGTAATTTGCCCAAGGTACCAGCAGCTGCTTTGTGGTCAAGCAGATATTCCAATTAGTCTTCACCACTGATCTCTCTTGTGTGATACAAATTTTTTTAGCGTGGGCTGGCCCTGTAGACCTGGTGTTAAGGGTGCTGGATCCCACATCTGACTGTGGTGTGAATTCTGGCTCTGGGGACTCAAAAACAGCGCTGGATACATGTACCCATGCCCCAAATTCTGACACAATGGAGAAATGGAGGACTGCAGTGTGATCACACCCTTCACTGGGGGGAGGAGTGCTTTCTGTTTATGCTTCTGGAGAGCATATGTATCCTGACAGTTAAAAAAAAATTTTTTTTTTTTTTTGCTATAAGGTGAGTGCACATTTGCCAGAAAGACAAAGTGAGAAATCACCCCCCAGGGGGGATGGCCATGCTGCAGTCCCTTTTCCCTTCTCCTCTTGGGATCTTGGGGACACACACACACACACACACACGCACACGGCATGAGTTTAAGCCACCGGTCTGGGACTCGAACCGTGGTTGACTACACGGGAGTCTAGTGACATAGCCATTACGCTAACTGCTGGTCCCTCAAAAAAACCTTTTGATTATCACTTTGAGGAGGGTTTTGATGGCCAATAGTGTACATTCTTAAGGCTCTCTGTAGTATGGTATAATCTTGGTCATTGTGTTCTTTATGAAGTGATCATAAAAATTTGTTACAACAAATGCTTTTTTGTGGGAGGGGTGTGGGTCATAGGACACTTGCAGGAAAGAAGAGAGAGGGAGTGAGAAATCACCCCCGGGGGAATGGCCGTTCCACAGTCCATTCTCTTCCACTTTCCTCTGGGAATTTTGGGCATGCACGCACATGTACCTGGCATGATTTTCAAGATGCCAGGTCCAGGACTCGAACTGTACTCAGCCAGGTGGGAGTCCAGTGCATTAACCACCACAATACCTGCTGGGCCTTAATACTTTTTTTTTTTTTTAAGATAAGAGATTTTTGCTACAGAGCATGTGCACTTCCCAGAGAGAGAAAGGGAGAAATCACACACACACACACACACACACACACACACACCCCGCCAGGGGGATGGCCACACCACAATTCCTTCATTCTCAGGATTTTGGGCACATAGACATGTCCAGCATGAATTTTAAGCCACTGGGTCTGGGACTTGAACTGTTGTCCACTACTAGGGAGTCCAGTGATATAACCATTACACCATCTTTTGGGGGTACTTTAAAAACTCATAACAAGATGAAGTTTTTAATCATAAATAATTGAAAAAGATGTGATTGATTTGGACCAGCAGTTGGCATAATGGCTGTGTTGCTGGACTCCTATGTAGTCGACTGTGGTTCGAGTCCTGGACCCAGTGGCTTAAAATCACGCCAGGCACGTGTGCGCGCATGTCCAAGGTCCTGAGAGAATGGAGGAGAAGGTACTGCGGCATGGTCATCTCCTCTGGGGGTGGTGATTTCTCACTTTCTTTCTTTCTGGGGGGCGCATGTGTCCTATAACAAAAACCTCAAAGAAAAAGATTTAGTGTTCTAAATATCAGTATATTAAAAAGCTGTTCTCTTTAAAAAGAACTTTGTGTCTAGTGGAATGCAATACCATGAGTTGATAGCCATCAAGATCCAGTTAAACATAGGTCACTGTTCAAATTTAGTACTGTTTCTTCCAGAAACTGTATGTGTGTTCATTTCGCCTACAAAACTATATCCTAATGTTTATGAAAAGTTTTTTTAACTTGGTAATCTTCATTATTTACAGCATATGTTTATAAATTGAAATGTTTAAATTTTAATGTGCCATGACTGTAAGGCAAAAAATGTTTTTTTTTCCCTAGATTGAGTTATTGTTAATTGACCTGAACAGCAAATTGCAAGATATTATTGGAAATGTGCCTCTTAACAATTAAGAGCAGAGGAAATATTGATGGCTTTGATTAAAGGAGATTTCACTGACCAGTCTCAAAAATTGTCCATTTATGTGGCTTCCCAAAGGTTTTTAAAAAGATTATTAAATGTAGTAGACCTAACTATTCAGGATGTGTGAGTGATGCCTCTCGTGTAAAGTATGAGAAAGAAAGATAGGGAAGAATAGGCTTCTATGCTGCAGATGTACCTGGGCATGCTCAGTGAACGTTACATAAAAATGGATCTCTAAAGCAGTTCTTGAACTACCCGTGCCCACGTGCTCATTGGAATGCTTCTGGGTGCCCTTGGGGTGCAGGTTCTTCAGATGGAAGATAGCTACTCTGGCACATTTGCAGTGTGCTGAAAAGAGCGGGGATGTTCACTTTGGCAGTCACAGAAAACAATTCTTAGTGGGATACTGTGTAACAGTTTAACAGATTGTAAAACGGCCATATCCCATTTTAGATCAGTGTAACACGTTGATGGCTATGATGCACCTGTGGTGGGGACTAGTGAGGCAATGGGGGTTACGCAAAGAAAACACTGAAGATGAAGCTTTGCTTTCTTTAAAAAAAAAAAAATTCAAGGTGGTAAGTACAAAAATGTTAAGTTCTTGGTATTTCTTAATTCTCCTAAAATATGTGTAAAACTAAAAACTTGTCTGTGGGGGAAAGGTTGACACTAAATTGTTGGTTAAATGATCTACATTTTGATTAATGCAAAGTGCCAAAGAGCAGTCACTCAAATTATGCCATCTAAAATAGGTATGGAACATTCATTCACTTCTACAACAGCCTGTCCTGTTACTGTCCTTACTGACTTCAACATATTGGAGTTCCTGTGTGCCTCTCGGCTCCAGCCACAATCAGGGTTGCCATTCCTGGGGATAAGTTCAGCGCTGTTGGCCTTAGCAAGAAGTATTTTTGCCCAGATTTCCTAGACACTTAAGGTTATCCAAAATTCTTTAAACTGAAACAAACATTTTCTTAATCCTTTTTTTTAAGAGATTTTTTTGGTATAGGGCATGTGCACCTTGGCAGAGACAAAGTGAGAAATCACTTCCGGGGGAATGGTGTGGTGGGGAGGCTACACCGCAATCCCTTCTCCTGTCTCCTCTCAGGATTTTGGGCACGTATGTACCCAGCATGAGTTATAAGCTGCCGGCCCGGGACTCAAACCGTGGTCAACTAAGTGGAAGTCTAGTGACACAACTACTATGCCATCTGCTGGTCCCTGAACTGTTAATAATACAGACCCAAACTCTATATTCTTCATAATTTTTATTCAAGCAACAACACTTTTAAGGGCTGAAAAAGGTTGTCATAACATTTTCTTGATTTAAAAAATTAAATACTTATTAAATAAGAGACCATCCAGTAGTAAACATTTATTTTTGATTGCAGAACTTGAATTTCTCTTGCAATGACTCTATCTCTTGATCAGAAAAATACTCGTGCCAGCTCAAACATTACCTTAGGATGATAAAAAGAATATTTAATGGGAAGCAAATTATTGGTACAAAGCTAAATGGCTTTTCCAAGATTGTGACTAATGAAAAGTACTCTGAACTATGAATAAATATTTGCCTCTCACATGGCAAGCTGCAAATCTGAGGCACAAGTATTTAATTGATGTTGGCTATACATTATAAATTTACAACTAGAACCTTTCCCAAATGCTGTCTTTAAAAATGTGGAAATCTGGGCTGGCCCTTTTAGCCTAGTGGTTAAGAAAACTGGATCCCATAAGGACTAGCTTTAGTTCAAATCCCACCTGGGCCTTGGGGGGGGGGGGGGCTGCAGGTGGTATGGTGGTTACAGTATTGGACTCCCACCTGGCCTAAAGCAGTGTGTCTGGGGCCAGGTGGCTTAAACATGCTTCATGGGAAAAAGCTTAAACAAAACAAAAACCACTGGGTGCATCAGCCTGCCTCAGATCCCAACAGGGTAGAGAAATGGAGAAGAGACAGGCTTGACCGCATCCCTTTGGGGGTGCCTTCCCCCTCTGGCAAACACTGTACCCTTTTGCAATGAAAAGAAAAAGAATGGGACCTTTTCAAAAAGTACACTTGATGCATTAACAGTTATTTGCAACCCCCTCACTTCTAGATGGACGTGGTAATTAGAAGTCCTGCTATTACATCTTCTCCCTCAAATTATTACCATCTGAGCCCCCCACAGTAGGAAGGTGGGGTGCACGTCTGTACCTCTATAGTGATGAGGATGACAATCATCCACTCCAGGCGGAGCGCCCTCTTCTCATTCAGGTGGTTCCTCATTAGATCTGTTAGTTCCATGCAGTGCTGAAGTTTTTCATTCATGACCTGCACAGGCAAAATCTTGTATCAGATATTTATATAAAGTATGTCATGCTTCGAAATTCTACAGGTATAGAGATACCATCCCTTCTACTCATCTGTCTACCCTCTTCCCAGAGGCCACCAGCCAGTGTTACCAGTTTCCTGTGAGTACACAAAGATTTAACTCTGCAAGAAATACTTGCATACCAAAGCTCTTCCATTTGTAAGATTCTGACGGAAAATCTAAAAATACGGTTTTTCGGTCTCAGTTTTTGGTGGCTGGCTGAGTTTGTAAGCTGTTAAAAAAGGCAAACTTGTAACATGGTTTTTTAGCCTAAATATGCTAACAGTGATGAATCCTCTGTACTACAAAACTCAACATCTGCCCGAGGGCCAGCGGGTGGCATTGTGGTTAAGGCGCTAGACTATCACATGGCTAAACTCATCCTGGGTGCATGTGCATGCGTGCCTTAAGTCTGAAGAGAGGAGGACAAGGGATTACAGTGTGGCCATCCCTGCTGTGGGTGATTTCTCACATGCCCCTCCTCTCCCTCCTTGGAGAACACACAAGCCCCATGGCAAAAACCTAAAAAAAAACCCTCCAAAAACACCTTCACACACACAAAAAATGGTGCTCTACCGCATACCGACCACTAGGTGGCACTGGTTTAACTCAGCTGTATTCTACTTGGATGTGACTACTGGCAAGTTACAAATCTCAATGTTTTTATCATTTTTCTCTGGAAAGTGTAAACATTTTAAAAACAGCTGGACTCTCAAGTGGAACACTGAATGTACCAGTTTGTCAGTGAAGCTTAAAGGACAAGTCATCACAGGTGCAAGGCCACAGTAGGCAGGAACGTGGAAGTGCGCGTCACTGTTGTGCACGAAAGGGTAACGTGACCTGCAGAGAACCAGCACATTCGCCCGTATTCCCACTCTGCTCGCCCTGTGGTTTCTCAGCGGTAGCGCTCAGAACAGTGTCTCCCTGGTTACTGCCTTTCCTCCTTTCTCTTCCCTCCCCACCCCCTTTCTTCCCTTTTCCTCTTTCCTTTGGCTGCCTGATTTGGTGGTCTATATTAAGCTCTCTTCTCTTCAAACCGCTGACTGCCCTCTTCCATATTTTTTGTTTTGACCAAAGAACAGCATTTTCTTGGTCCACTTCATCACCAGTTTACTCTTTAATTCAAGAATCTGTATTACCACAACTCCCCTGAAACTTTGAGAAGCCTCCTGATAAAATTTTTCTTAGTGCCAGACCTCAGTTAACCGCAGGTTTGACAACACACTGACATGCACGGCCCCTGCTCCCGCAGCCTCAACTGTAGTGGTGTGACATGCCATAATGAGGGAGCAGGGGACAGGGTACGGCCTTGGGCGGTGCTCAAGCGAATTAGGCTTTAGGTTCCAGTAAGAAAAGGTGGGGCACTGGGGAGAAGGAGGGGGCATTTCAAGCAGAGGAGATAGCACAGAACCAACTAGAGCTGGGGGGGGGGCGGAGGGGACAACTCGGAAGTGAGGCTAAGAGGATACAGTACTGTACACGCAAGGTACTGGCACAATGTCTCCCCAGAAGTTAGCCCAATTCCTGGAACGTGGGGATGGCAAAGGAGAATTAGACTGTGAAGTTGCTAATCAGTTGACCTTAAAATTGGGAGAGACTCCTAGATTATCTGGATGAGCCCAGTGTAGTCTCAAGGGTCCCTGAAAGTGGAACTGGCTGCCTGGCCACAGTGGCGTGCGTTGCTAAGATTCAGTGTGCCACAGAGACAGGGACCACATGGGAGACCCAGCCGCTGAGGTGGAAGGATGGAGGCTGGAGGCTGGTCTGGACAACCAGCAAGACCCTGTCTAAAGTTAATGGGGCATGGTGGCTCACACCTGCAGTCCCAGCTGGAAGGCTGAGGTGGGAAGATCGTGATTCAGAGAGACCATGTCTTGTTTTAAATTCATTTTTAATTTCATTTAATTTTTTAGAGGTTTTTATCATAGAGTACATGTACTTGCCAGAGACAGACAGACAGACAGAGGGAGGGAAAAATGAGAAAGCATCCCCCCTCCCTCAGGAGGATGGCCATGTTGCAATCCCTTCTCCATTCTGGATTTGGGGCACGCATGGCACCCTCCTAGCGTGATTTTTTTGAGAGTTTTTTGCTATTGGGCGTGTGCACTCACCAGAAAGAGAGTGAGAAATCAGCCCCTGAGGGGATGGCCACAATGTAATCTCCTCCACTCTCCTTCCAGGATCTTGGACACCTATGCACATGTGCCTGGCGTGAGTTTAAGCCATTGAGTCTGGGACTCTAACCACCGTCGACTACATGGGAGTCCAGTGACACAGCCATTATGCGCTGCTGGCCCCCTCCTGGCATGATTTTCAAGCCACCAGGTCTGGGACTGAAACCACAGTTGACCACATAGGAGTCCAGCACCTTAACCATCACACCACCTGCTGGCCCCAAGGGAGACGGTCTTAAAAAAAAGTAGCGGGAGGCAGTTCAGAAGGATACAGTGGGAGGAGGAATCAACTTACCTTTGCTAAGAGTTAGGGGCTATAAGCCAAGGAATGTGGGCAGGGTCCAAGGAACTGGAAAAGGCAAGGGATCAGATCCCTCCTACAGCTCCAGAAAGGAATGCAGCCCTGCTGACACCTTGATTGTAGCCCAGTGCCAGGCTTCTGACCTACTAGAACTTAAGATGATCAATCTGTGCTAGGCCTCTAGGATTAATTATCAGTGTAATCTATCTCGGCAGCCATAGAAGACTAGTACACCATACTGTCCTGTCCAAACCGTGTCCTGCAAGTAGTGGGAGGTTCTTCCAATATTTAACATTTACCATAAGGACAGTGAGTGAGACAGGCATGCCCCTCTGCCTTCCGGCCAACAGGGCTGGTCTAGAGCTGAGGACACTGCGGGAGGTGTTACTGAGTCCAGGTGAGAGGAGGAGCAGCGGGCTGTGAGGATGCCTGTTTACAGCTGGGGCCTTGAAGGCAGCATCAGTATGGTATTGCTTCCTCTTGGACAGCACAGCACCTACCACACAGGTTTCCAGATATTTTCTGGGCCGGCCAGTGGCATGGTAGTTAAGGTGGCTGAATCCCACATGGCCAACTGGTTTGAGTCCTGGACCCCAAGATTTGGAAAACACGCCTAGTGTTTACACACGCACGTACACACCATCCTGAAAGGGGAACGGAGGAAAAGGGAATACAGAGTGGCCATTTCCCTGAGGGTAGCTTTCATATCCCCTCCTTTCCCCACCCGTCTCTGTTGAATCCATATGACCTCTAGCAAACTAAAAATAAAGAACTACTTGACAATGAATAAGTGATTCTTGGTGGAAAATAAAACTGATTGGCTGTGGAGAGTGAAGCACAAAGAGGACACCCAGATGACTAAGTTTCTGGCTGAATGGATATGGAAGGAAAAGTGGTTTTGCCATTAGAGAACTAGTTTCACTCTGAAGTGTTAACCACTGATTCATTCATTCATGAAGCCCACTATGTGCTCTGATACCCTGGAGACCAAAAAGGCACAGAATTTCCCCTAGAAAATGTGCAGTCCTAGAGACAGCTGTGAAATCAGGCCATCACGTGCAGTCTGCAGTGCTGCGCCCAAGGCACACACAGGTGACCTTGAGGGGCACAAGCAGGACTGGTGTCCTTTCACAGCAGGTGACTTTAGGTTTATCAGGCAAAATGCAGGCATGGACTGTTCTAGTCCAAAGGTATAGAACCAATCAAATCATACTGATTTGAAAGCACACTTTTTTTTTTTTTTAAAGAATCATTTAACTTATTTTACTATTATTTTAAAATTTGCTATAGGGAGCATGCACTCACCAGAGAGAAAGAAAGTGAGAAAGCAAGTTGCCTGGTCCAGGACTCAAACCGCAGCCAGACATGTGGAAGTCCAGTGCCTTAACCACCATGCCACCTGCTGGACCTGAACTCTGTATTTTTATTTTTCAGGGCATTAACCTGAATTAACTCCCTCCCCTCCCCCCCAGCTTTGTTGAGATGTACTTGACAAATCTTTTGTTGACAGAACTGATTCAGTAGAATACTCTCCCTACTCAAGATTCACTAGTTCATATAAAATCCTTAAACACGACAGCCACAGGAATTGTTAACAGGAATCCTCAAGTTTGGGCACTGAGTAGAACCTACTTCACCTGCTCAGCCAACTCTCCAGGGTGGGTTCAGAAGCAGCCCTTCCACTTGGAGAGTTCAGCCCTGGGGTGAGCCCCAGCATCCCTTTCCTGCATGCCCCTTCCCTCTGATTTAGCAGTGACAATGCACTGGTACTTCTCCAGGTTTCCCCCTTACTAGTATTTAAAAACTTTTTCTAGAGGATGTATGTGCTTGCTGGAAACAGCATATGCATGCACACAGAGAGAGCAAGTACCCTCCAAGGGGATGGTCAGGCTGCAATCCCTTCTCTGTTTCTCCTTTCAGGATTTTGGGCACATATGCACAGGCACCTGGTGTGTTTTTTAAACTGCCGGTCCTGGGACTTGAACCTGTCAGTCAGCCATGTGGGATCCAACCATCATAACCACCACGTCACCGGCTGGCCCGGTAGTTCCTGTCCAACTAGTTAACTGTTCATTGTGTTTTTTTTTCATTACTGATCCTTTTTTTGACATCTCTTATCTTCTGCTGTGGCTTTCATGTTGACCGTAAGGAATCTGATTTTAATACGTTCTTGAAAGACATTCTCCTTTCTCTGCTTTGCCTCTGGATCACACTATCAATATTTTCCTTCTGGAACGTTCATCAGTGGTAACTGATCTTATTCTCTTT